TCTCCCTCACTGTGGTTGCTGGGCTCTGTTCCTGCAGTGAATGCTCATGGAGCTCAGCAGTACACCCACTCTCTGCATCTCCTGCAGCTGAAAATTTGTCCCTTAGAGCTCATATCCAGGGTTGCTGAAGCCAGGACTAAAGCTGGGATAGGACCGAACTTTAAGCCTCTGACGTGGAGCTGCCCGGTGCTCCTTGTGCTAGGAGGGGTTCCAGTCCTTGGGAGCAGCTGGAGGGGCTCGGAGGAGCCAAAGGCTGCTGTCCCTGCTGCCTCCCTCCCCCCCACTCACGTTGGCACTGCAGCACTGTGGCAGGGCACGCTGAGGATGTTCTGCACTTGGCAGCATCCCCTGGGGAAAAGTCAGGCATACTCTCAAATTCCATATCCAGAATCATGTCAGCAAATGTTTCTGTGCCGACACCATCTGGGATGCAGACGCGAGTACAAAAAGCCACGTTTCCTCTCGTGCAGTAACGAGGCATTTTGTGTTGTTTCTGCTTCGTTCCTAGGGCTACTTACCAGAAAGCAAATTCAACCGTGTGCTGACTGAGCCGGTGCTGCGTGACGCGGGGCCGCGCCGCAGGGGAAGGCGGCCCAGAAGTGAGCTCATCAAAGGCCCCGGCGTCGTAGCAGATTCTTCTTCTGGAATGGGACCATTGTTCATGAACGGACTGATTGCCGGAATGGACCTAGTGGGACTTCAGAACATGAGAAACATGCAAGGGATCCCCCTGACCGGGCTGGTCGGCTTCCCTGCAGGCTTTGCGGCCGTGCCCGCTGGCGAGGACGTGAAGAGCACCCTGAGCATGTTGCCCATGATGCTGCCAGGCATGGCCACCGTGCCGCAGATGTTCGGCGTCGGAGGGCTTCTCAACCCACCCATGGCAACGACTTGTACCGCCACTGCTCCGACTTCCTTAACAAGCACAACAAAAAGTGGTACATCGAACGCAGAGAAAGCTACTGAGGATAAACAGAGCAGCCAGGATGCGAAAAAAGAAACTCTTTCTGAAGATAAGCCCGGCCCTAGTTCGTTTTCTAATCAGACAGAATCCGCAATAACTACCAGTAGTCCTGTAGCTTTTAACCCGTTTCTTATCCCAGGGATGTCACCCGGACTGATCTATCCGTCAATGTTTCTCTCCCCTGGCATTGGCATGGCGCTGCCGGGCATGCAGCAGGCCAGGCACGCGGAGGCAGCCAGCCTGGAGAGTCAGAAGCGGAAGAGAAAGAAAGCGAAAGGTGACGCAGCGAACCCAGAACCAGAAACTGTCTCGCTGCCCGAAAAAGAAGCTGCAAACGGTCAAAACTGTACAGAGCAAACACCGCCTTTGCCAGCAGAGAAAGAGCAGGATGTACCAGCAGAGGAGGAGGTCAAAGAAGTTAATGATACCAATTAGAACTTTTGTTTCATTGAAAAAAAAGATTGTGGCTTGTAAGTTTCTTATCCCATACCTATTTGTTACTTACCCTCCTGCCCCCACTCCACCTTCATAAACCTGTGTTTCCATGAGTAATATTATCTACCTAACTCCCTGTCAGAAAACTATGGTGACATATTATATGTTAATAGTTGCAGGGTCTTGCCACTTTATTAGATAAACAGTGTTGTCTAGCTAGTGTGGGAGGCACAGAATTCTTGTTCTGTTTTCCAGTCGTTCATCCCGGCCGAGCAAATCCAGTTCTTGGGCACCCCCCAAACCGCTCACACATTTGAGAAGAAAAGGAAGCAAAAACAGAGCAAAGCAAAGCTCTCACCTCTTGGTCTGCGCACTGACAGGGGTGGTTCTTTCTCCAGCGACACTGGGTGACAAAGCCTGTATTTGGGGGTAAAAAGCACAGCTATAGTAAGTGCTGATGTGTATTTTTGATTTGAAGTATTTCCCTATTTTATCATGGTTACTAGAATAGTAGTATAGACAGAAGTATATACCTAATGATTGAAAATGCATATATTCATTTCTTTGAAACAAAGAGACGTTACTGGTAGTGGTATAATTTCTCCATCACCCCCACCTCAAAGGTTTGGAAACAAACGACAGTGAGTGACAATATTACGTAGGCATTCTTTTGTATTTTTTCAAACCAAAGTTTGGTTTTACGTTAAGTGGAATTTTCGTTGCCCTTTCCTCAATAGTTATGAGAGCTTTTCAGCCCGAGCTGAAAACGTTTTGCACATCTTGCATGACTTTTTGGGATTCCTGTACCCATCGCTACCAGTTCCCCCATGGCCCCGCTAGAATTCCGTTCTCATCTACGGCGTTAGTCCTCATCTATGGCATTAGGAGTGCTGTAATGTTATTTTTTCAGGCCACAAACAGGCCACACTGATTTTAATGCTCTTTTATGAACACTGAGGCTTTTTGAGTTGCTGTCCATTGGGGTCCATGTTCAGATGCGGTGTCTGTCAGAGCAGGGGAGGCTGCAGGCTGTGCTGCTCTGAGGGCAGAAGGACCGCGGGATCTCCAAAGCTCGAGTTTGTTCTTCTTTCCTAGTGGTAGACTGTGAAGAGATCACGTTTGCTTCTTCTTTCCATTCCTCTACGTGCTGTTGAACAGTATTTCCAAGTCCCCCCATCGGCAAATGATTTTGACGTACGTGTTTTAAACAGACAGGTTTTAATGCAGTCAGTGCCCGAAACTCTGTGTGTGTTGAGACACCTCCACAGGCAACTCCTCTGTTTCTCCTCCCCTTCACTCCTTTCGTTTCCCTTTCACTTGGGCTCGTTCTCATTTGCAGCTCATGGTTTGAGACTTGAAGTCAGCGCGGCGGGCGTTGGGAGCGTCAAGTCACCGGTCACACATCTGGTTGTCACAATTTACTGTATTTTTTACTTATTTTCTGTTACAGTTTTGCTAATTTATCAGATGGTCCAAATGTTTTGGCATAACTATTTCGGTTTGCATTATTTATTTATGATGCTTTTTTTTTTTTTTTTTTTTTGTCTTTTATACATTTGGAATGATAAATGGTGTACATGTTGAAATCAGCATCTCAAAGAAGTCTGTTACCCACGAGCTGAAAAGTTCATCCTTTCACGGACGTATTGCCAGATTCCTGGATTGGGTGATTTTTTAAAGTCTGTAACCGATCACGATGCAAACCCCCCCCAATTAAATGTCTTCTATTTAATAACTTCCTCGTAGCATAGATACTGTATCGCTGTCGACAGATTTCTTAGAAATGCTGCTATCTCTATTTAACTAACATTTTGTTCAGTTTTGCCTCCAGTGGAAGCAGAAAGGGTTTTCTCAGCTGTTAAATCCAAAATCGATATAATTTATTTATGTAAAAAAAAAAATCACGATTGATATATTTTTGAACCTTTTAAGTACTAACTTTCTTTTTATTCAGTAGAAGAACATGTACTTGCCCTAAATCCTTAAAATACAAATGCTATAAAACTTCATGTATCTTCAAAGCCTTACTGTGACTGGATGTAGACATCTCTTCAGAGTCCATTTCTCACACGGGATGGTTTTTCCAGGGTTACACTCCTAAGGAACAGGGTTTTAAGTGGCGTTTATTTAATTAGCCGGCATGCTCTATACCTTGTTCTTATTATCAGACGTGTACGCTAAGTCTCTGGGTGTTTAGGCTTCTCTTTGACTGCTACTTTGTGACCCTTTTGCAACCGGATATACTCTGTGGATTACTTAGGCTGTAAGGCATTAAGTGGCTTCTTATAATTTTCCATCCTATCCAAAAGAAATGCCAAATTGTCGCCGGTTTCCATGGATACTCACACGAACATCCATCCTCCACCAAATGTGCTAACAAAATAAACGGTCTGTGCTCTTGGACATGGATAAAAAGAAAAAAGAGAAAAAAAAAAGATTTAAAGGTCAGATTTTTATTTTTTTAATTTAGTGACTAGATGATGCTTATCTTTCAGACTTGGCAGAGCCTTGCTACAGATGTATATAATTTTTTTCAGCAAATATATGTGAACGTTTAATTCACCTGACTCAGTGATAACGGTTCCTCGCCTTTCTCTCGGCACGAGCGCCGAGGCCCGCCGCGCTCCCATAGCGGAGCGGAGCTCGGGCGGCGCCGCGGCTCCCAGGGCTGCCGCGGCCCCGAAGGCACGGCGGGCCGATCCCAGAGCTCTCGGGGCGCCTGGGGCCGGACGCGAGGCCCCGAGAGCGACCGCGGCAACGGCCGGCAGCCTCCGCGGGACGGAGCGGGGCCGCGCTCTTTGCTGGCGCCGCAGCCCCGTTAGGCGCTCCGAGGCGCCAAATAACGGCTTGCGACGGATCCGCGCCTCGGGACCGCGCGCCTCAGGAAAGCGGATCATCAGCCGGAAGAAACGCGCGGAAATTCCCGCAGGTGCGCGAGGACGAGCGGGGTGGGCCGGTCTGGCCGCCCGCGCTGGCTGCCCCGCGCGCCTCGGCGCCGCTCCTCGCGAGCCGCACGGCGATGCTCGCCGGCCGCGCGCGGTGCCACACCGAGGGCCGCCCCGCGCCCGAGGACGGCAGCTCTGCAGAGCGGACGCAGCGCGCGCGCGGCCCGGCCCCCGGGACCAGCCTTCCCTCGGGCGCGTCCGGGCTCCGGAAAAGCATCCCGAGCCGGGCCGTTCCGCCGCTCCTTGCGCTCGGACCCGCGCGGAGCAGAACCGCTCCGACCCCGCGCCCCCTCCCGCTTCCCGCCCGGCGGCGCCAGCGGCGCCGGAAGTGGCCGCGCCCTTTCCGGTTCGTAGGTTTTGGCGCGCTGAGCGCAGCTCGGCGCCGTGGCGGCCGTGCCGGGCCGCCATGTCCCGCACCGAGCCGCTGCCCGAGCCCGAGCTCGGCGCCGCCATCGAGCGGCTGTGCCGGGAGCTCAACCTGGACGCGGGCAGTGCGGCCGAGGCGCTCCGCGACTTCACGGCGCTGCGCGGCACCTACAGCCTGGAGGTGGGCGGTGGGGCCGGGCGGCGGGGCCGTGCCGTGCCGAGCTGCCCCGGCCCCACGAGCGGCGTTGCCTTGCAGGGGGACGCGCAGCACTGGCTGGCCTGCGCTCTGTACGCCGCGTGCCGCCGCAGCGTGCTGCCCACCGTGGGGAGCGGCCTGATGGAGGGCAACTGCGTGTCGCTGACCCGGATCCTGCGCTCCGCCAGGCTCAGGTGCGCCGCTCGGCCCGCACGGGGCAGCGCTGAGACAGAACGGCGGTTAAAGCCGGTGATAACACGACGGTTTCTTTGTCTTTTTTTCTTTCTTTTTTTTTTTCCTCTTCCCTTTTAAGTTTGATTCAGTTCTTTAGCAAAATGAAGAAGTGGATGGACATGTCGAATGTGCCACAGGAGTTCCGGGAGCGGGTGGAAAGGCTGGAGAGGAACTTCGAGGTGTCCACTGTCATCTTCAGGAAGTTTGAACCGATATTTTTGGATATCTTTCAAAACCCTAACGAGGAAACTTCGAAACCCCAACGGAGCAGGAAGCAGAGGTACTGAGGAGCTCTCGTGTGGCTTTACAACGGTTTTACAAATAAAGAGAGCGCTAGTTGTGCTTTAAAAAACAAGGCCGAGTTCTGAAGTGACTGAGCAGACATGCAGGGATGCTCAGTGCAGGCATAGGCAGTGGCTGAGACCAGGCTACTGTCCCTCCTTGCACTCCTCACAGTGCTGCATCAGTGGACTCCAGTGAGCGGCTGCTTTATGTGAATGCCAGGTGAGCGCCGGCCCTTTTGTGGGAGCAAACTGCAGCCAATGTGCTCATCTGTATGACATGCAGCGACTGGTGCTGTCATCTTCCTGATGCACGGAGCACTTCTTAATTAAAGGGCTTCATCCTTGTTCTGCATTGACTGCGTGGCTGTCCCTGGTAGCTCTGGTGAGGATATGACCTTCAGCAGAGGAAGCTGAGCTGGCTCAGTGCTGGGGGTTTCTGCAGCCTCAATTTGGTCTGGATGTGAGGGGGTAATTTACAGTAACCTGCTCTGGTGTGGCTCCTTATGCAGATATGGGAAGGGAGCTGCTGCTGCTACCAGTTTTGCTGAGCCTGTATGAGGAGAAATGTCCGTGCACTGTGTTCATGTACCTTCATCAGAGCAGCATTCATTAACGTGAGCACGCAGCTTCTCTGTCGGGTGGTTTTGGTTCTTCTCTACTTCTAGAGTATTCACCAGAAGAGCTGCAGCCGAGTTGTAGTTGCATATTTTGAAAGGGTGTGCGATGCTTTAGTAAAACGTTTAGGAGAAAGATGCACTGCAATTGACAGAGCCCTCAGCAGTCTGCTACATGCAGCTCTGTGAGACTCCTGTCACAATTGCAACATCACCTAGGTAGTGCCTGGGGCACCGACCACAAGCAGCTGTTGGCTCAGAGCAGTCGGTGACTCTGTGCAAAAAGCTGTGCAGAGCAGTCCAGGAGGCTGCAGTGAGAGCTGCTCTGTGTGCCGCCAGCTTACGGTGTGCCTCTGTGCGCCCTTGTGATGTGATGGCTCCGACTGTTGCTTTGAGCAGAAGGAAACTCTTGCTAAGCAGTGCGCTTCAGCTTCCTGGAAGCGGAGACTGACTCCTGCCCCTCTCGTTGACAGGCGGGTGCTGTGTGGTGTTAAGGATCTCTTCAACTTCTGCTGGACCCTGTTTGTGTACACTAAGGGTAGGCTTGCGTTTTGCAGCCGTGTGTTTCTCATGTATTCTGAGTTATGAACTTCTGTTGCCTGACGTGATGTGCTGTCTCTTCAAGGTAATTTCCGTATGATTGGGGACGATTTAGTAAATTCCTATCATCTACTTCTGTGCTGCTTGGACCTGGTTTTTGCAAATGCCATTTTGTGCCCAAATCGAAGAGATTTGCTAAATCCATCGTTTAAAGGTACGGTGGGGATAGGCTGTTCAAAACGAAATACGCTTTGTTCCTTTGGTTATTCTTTTTTTCAGTAAAGTTGAAGGTTGTCATTTGTTTTTCCCTCTCCTTCCCATTCCCAGGCTTACCAGCAGACTTCCATGCATCAGAGATGAAAGCCTCAGAGGACCCTCCGTGCATCATTGCCACGCTGTGTGAGCTGCACGATGGGCTTCTCGTGGAAGCGAAAGGAATAAAGGAGCACTACTTCAAGCCATACATTTCGAAGCTGTTCGATAGGAAGGTGCATATTACTATGTGGAGGATGTGTGGTAGTGTTTGTACAGATGGTCTTGTCTTGAGCATTGAAATCCTGCATGTGCTGGAGGAAAGCGCTCTGGTGGGCGTGTGGACTCGTGTTGGTTCAGGTTGCTCTGCATTTCAGCGGGAGCAGAACTGTGCTCTCCCTTCTAACAATGCATGCTGTAGGGCTCCCTCTGTTTTGGCTCTTTATGTCAGTGAAAGATCCTTACTTTCTTGGCAGTATGGAAGCTGCACTGTAGGTGATCAGCTTTTTTAATGAAAGATGTTATCTTGTGGAACAGCTGTCATGATTGCCTGGGTCCCAGTGTGTGTCTGGGGTAAACTCAGTGCTTTGAATGAGGAGTTGGGGTCACAGATGGAAAAACTGTGTGGGTTTGCTCCTGGAGAACTTCTCCAAGCTCCACAGAGATGTCTGTAGTTATCAGACTAGGAAGCAGGTTGCTTCCTCCCTGCCGGGGCGCAGAGCTACCAGCGCTGCTCCTGAGCTGTGCGTTCACCACAGCTTGGATGAGCTGAGCTTTGGCCTGGCCTGCGCCTCTTACCAACAGCACTGTGCTGCTCTGGTCTGGGCAAAAGGACAAGTCTGGTTGTGCTCATTGTGCTTTTGGCAAGGACCATCTTGCTGTCACGTTGGTAGAGATGGAATGGTTTTGATTGATGATGTAAGATATTTCTGCTTTTTTTTATTCTTAGATCTTAAAAGGAGAATGTCTGTTGGATCTTTGCAATTTTACAGAAAATAAGTAAGTGACAGTGTGCGTTTTTAATCTTGGACTTGGGTTTCTTTCTTGAGTATGGGTCTTTGAATGCTAAATCCCATGTTTTCCGTATCTTACTGTATCTCACTGCTTCTGGTGATTTGAGAAGCAATGCTGTTCCTTGCCGAAATGCTTCCTGGGTCTGAGATACCTCCAATATCAGAGGGTGAGCTACAGAGTTTCCTCCTTAATGTCAGGTCACAGAAAGGTGCTAAGGCTCTGGAGCAGGATGCCCAGGGCAGGGCTGCACTCTGCATCCCTACAGCTATTGCAGACGTGTGGATGTGGTTTAGTGCTGGCTGATGGCTGAACTTGATCTTTAGGATCTTTTCCAGCATAGATTACTCTGTGTTGTTCTGGCAGCTCTTAACCTGTGTGTAGTCTGAGCAAGTCCAAGCTTTAAAACTCATGAATGTGTTACTATGCATACCTCAATATTTGCATGTGAATAGGGAAGTATTTAGGATTGTTTCTTAGTCTCCAGGTAAGTGCACACATTTGTGAATGCAATGGGAGAGCTCAAAAGTAAAAGGAGCAACAATTGCAAAACCACAAGAAAAGAGGAGGGAGGCAAACGGAGCTGTTTTGGGAACTTCTAACATTTAATTCTCAAAAGTAATTTAGATGAAAAGATGAGTCGCAGCTGCTTTGTTCTGGATCCCACAAAGCTTTTTCCTCTTCCACAAGCAGCTAATAGTTCAGTTCTGCAAGGGGAGGTTTTAGCTGTGCCGTCTGCTTTCTGAGAAGCGTGAGCAGGGACTGCCCTGCTGCAACGTGCGGAGCATTCAGATGAAGAAGTGCTGCTCTGCTCCCTATGGAGCAGTGAGCTGCACTGGTATCCCTGCTTAACGACTACTGGTGGTAGTGGTTACTGCCACTCAAATGAGGCGGCGTTCCCTGTTCTTTTACTGAATGACACCTGAGGAAACCTGCCTGTGTCTTTGCCCAAACGGGAGGTTCTGCAGCCTTTGTCAGGTTAAATGTTCCTCTTCCACATGCAGGTTAGCTGGAATCAAGGAGCCAAAGGAGCTGTTCAGTATCATGTCAGTGGTGATTCGAGGAGACTGAAGCTTCAGTTCCCTTCCTCTGTGCCATTGAGGGAAGATGCCACTGAGTGCCAGGCAGCCAAAGTAGAGCTCAGACTTAACACAGCCCCTGCTGCTCTGCTTGGGCAGAGCTTTAACTTCTGATGGGCTCTTTCAGTAGTTTGTCTGAGGTGGAAGCACATTTTCTCCCTGTGCGAGCCCAGTGACTTCTTTTCAGGAGAAGTTTTCTGTTCAGTGAGTGGAACGTATTGAAGTCCAACTCATTCATGTTCCTCTTGACAAAGAAATCAGGATTTGCTGGGAAATAGTTAAGCAGCAGCAGGGAGACACAACTCCACCTGATGTTAACAAAGCTCAGTCAGTCTGCAGTTGTTTTGATTTGGGAATTTCTGTCAGCATTTTATATCCTGCACTTAGACTTGCACTGCCCCAGGAGCTCCATTCACATCTGGATTCTCGTCCTTGTGAAGGACTTGCCCTGTATCTGTATTTCACAGGTGGCTCCAAGCTCTGTTCCAAAAAACCAAAATGCTGTCCAGCCCACTGCGTGGGCACAGTGCTTTTAATTCAGAACCCACCCTGTGCAGTCATCAGACTTTTCTGAATACCGGCACTGGTATAGTAGATCTCTTTCCACTCCCTGCCCAGAGTGGTTCCATTTTCTTTACACATTGCTAGGAGATTTTATGTCAGTTCACTTTACAGCACAGAAGGGAATGGGTACAGGAATGGAAGCGGGGAAAGGGCTGTGGCTGCCTTGGAGTGCATCACCGAGTGCCTCGTGGTCCCACGTTCCGTGTGTATCTACCAGGTTTTCAAGACCTTTGGGAGATTTTCTTCTAGTGCGTGGAACTAATTTAATGCTAATTGCCATCTAAGAAAGGCAGTTCTTTTTTCTACTTCCTCAGGAAAGTGTAAGGGAAATGTGATAATTCTGAAGATGTCTGTGTTGGTGAATGTCATTTGAAGCAAATTCATCCTAGTTTGGCAGGTTTCAACCTAAGATCCCAACATTTCTGGATCAGCTGATGGGAAAATTGTTCAGAAAAGCCAGATTCCATGTATGTATATATTGTGTGTGTGAAGCAGCTGTGGAGCCTGATGCCTTGATTTCAGCACTGTCTGAGATTAATGCACTGCGTGGGCATCCCTGCCTATGGCAGGTGGCTTAGAACACGGTGATCTTTATGGTCCGTTCCAGGCTGGATGCAGCTCTGGGCAGCCAGGTCTGGTGGTTGGTGACCCCGCACATGGCAGGGGGTTGAAACTAGGTAGTCATTGTGGTCCTTTTTAGCCCAGGCCGTTCTGTGATTCTGTAGCTCCATGAAGCTGGTGGGTGAAGAGCAGGCCGTGCAGTGTGCTGCTGTGGGAGGCTTGGAGCTGAAGGCAGCCAAGCAGGGCTGTGAGCAGGCTGCTCACGCAGAGGAGCTCCATGTAGAAGCACTGCTGCTACTGAGAGCGTGAGAAGCGTTGAGTTTGTGCTGGCTTCACTTCTGTGTTTGTTCAGCAGTTTAACCTTTGCTGTAAAACTTTGGCTTCTCTTCCAGCAAAGCGCTGAATAAAGAGTACGAGGAGTATGTTCTAACAGTGGGGGACTTTGATGAGAGAGTTTTCCTAGGAGCGGATGCTGAGGAAGAAATTGGCACTCCTCGGAAGTTTCCTGCAGATTTGCAAGTGGGGAAAACAGCAGCGAGAGCTCACGTGGAGTGTCACCTTCAGCAGCACTTCGAAAAGGTGACTCATGTAACTTGTTTTCGGGGGGACTACTCCTTCCTTTGGAGTCCAGTTTTCCCATCGTATGCACTTTGAATCCCTGAGATGACTTGGAAAAGCTGCATCCCTTGAATGGTTTGCTGGGAGGAAGGAGGTGAATGTCACTCACAGGCTTAGTCGGGCAGCCTTGCTAAGAGAAATTGTGGTGTTGTCTTTGCTAATGCAGGAAACAACTGCTCCTTGAGCAGGGTGGGAGCACTTCTGTAGGTGAACTGGTGTTATTTTGTCCAGGAAAAAGTGCAGGTAGTTAAGACCTCCATATATTGACATAGAGTTAATTCATGCTGCTTGCCCAGTAAGAATACCATGAAACCTTTACACTGGATTAATTTGTGTTTTCCTGTGATTCTTTCTGATGACAGGAAAAGTCAACCTGTTCTATGAAAAATAGCTTTCAAGACACGAAACCAAAGCCTGACTCCTCTGCTTTGGTTACAAACAGCAGCTATAAGCAAAGTCAGCATTTCGCTGTGTTTAACAACGTGAACTGTATCGAATGAAGGGGGTGTATGGGAAGATACCCAACTAATAGCTTTCAAACTTGGATAAGAGGATTGCAGCCTTCTTTGGCAGCGTTTTAATTGTGTTATTTTAAACTTAGATGTGATTTTGCAGGAGATGCTGTTTCTGCACCACTTCTGTTGTTTTTTTTTATTGATTATCCATCTCTCTCTCAGAAGAGGTCATTTGCACCTTCAACTCCTCTGACTGGAAGAAGATACCTACGAGAAAAGGAAGCTGTCATCACTCCCGTTGCTTCAGCCACGCAAAGTGTGAGTCGGCTGCAGAACATTGTGGCTGGATTGAAAAATGCCCCTAGTGACCTGCTTCTAGCTGTTTTTGAGTAAGTACATCCACTGCAGCTGTTCTCTAACAAATGCAGGCTCATCTTTTCGTGACTGGGGCTGCTTTCTTTCTCAAATTGCACTTTCTTGTTTGGTGCAGTGTATTTTTTTTTTTTTTTTTTTTTTGCTTGTGTCTTTTATTATTTCCAGTTAATGCGTCTTGATATCAAGTAGAACATTGTTTTTTAAATGGTCCGTACTTCTGGAGGAGAGCTGGACCCCCCATCCCTGAGGGGTCACCAGCACCATCTTCATTCGTCCCTTTCAGCAGCTGTATGATATTGGAAATCCTATTCAGTTTTTGCTGAAGGCAGCCCCAGGCCTTCCTCACCACCATTTCTGGGAGCAGCACTCTGTTCTGCAGATCAGCTTTGGCCTCCTGGATGCACCTCTGTGTGCTGACTGCAGTGACACGTGCTCAGAAACGTTGGTGTGTAAGCAGATAAATGCACACAGTGCAGCAGTAAAAGGTGGACCAGTGTTGCTTCATAGCAAGTGTAAATTTAATAATGCATAATCATAGAGCTGTTGGGCAGTTGTCTGACTGTCTGTGAGTCAGTCTTGCTGAATAGTGGTGCATGGGCTCTGGATTTTTTATTTATTACTATTTTTAGTGATAATGGGTACTTAGTATTAGCACTTGATATCTGACATGTAAAAGTAGTGTTTTGTAGCAACCTTCATGAATAGATGAGGATAGTAATTCTAGTTCTCATCTTTGGAATTGTGTCTGTTTTGAAGGTCCTTCTAACAGATGTTCTTAGAAGTTGGGATTACAAATGCTTGGAAGGATGCGTTTCCGTTGGGCAGGTGTTGTGTGGAAATCCAGTGTTATTTCCATCATCCTCTTAAAATGCCTCTGTAATCTCTCGTGAAAAACGAGTTCATTCAAGTAATAACCTGTCAATAGCTGTAAATATTAAAACTTAGATGAGCATTGAGAAAAGCCTCTGATAATAAATGTGTTGAAGGCTTTTCTCATCCTGAACACGAGTTCTGCAGAGGCTGGGATATGCTTTGGCTAACTGGGAGGAGTAGAAGAACAGTGGTTTTGATTCTGGAATGGTCCATGCTTCTGAATGTTCTCTCTTTCAGATATAAATCCCTTGTAAGAGTAACTTTTAATCAATTAGAAGGCTTTGTTTGAGGAACCCATCGTTGCAGAGCTGGCTTTTCAGCATAACTCAGTATCTGTGTTTGCTACCAGCCCTGAGCCACTGTTCTCTGAATATGGAGGCATTCAGAAAGGCATCTCCCAACATAGAGCTTCTCTGGGTGCTTTTCCCAGCAGTGTCTGTGGGGGTTCATCAGTGCCCTTCTGCCTTGCTTTTGTTTTTTTGAAAGCTCTCACGCCTTGCTCCTGCTGATACATTTTTTTCTCCTGATTGTGCTCTCAATTTCTCTTATGTTGGCTGTGAAATCTGTACAGCAGGAGAGAAACAATCTTTCCATGTGATGTTTCCTGTGATTTCTGATGTTGGGGTTACTGTCTAACAGAAAGCTCAGGAAAACCAGCCTTGTTTGTTTGTTTGCACGGGATCAGGACACTTACTTACGTGGCCAAGGCTTGCTTCCTGTGTTCTCCTGCAGGTCTTGTGCACGCAGCCCTGCAGAAAGCATCGTGAACAGAGTGAGAGAAATAGGGGAGACGTTCTGTCACAGCTACACGCAGCCGACAGACGAACTGCCAGGATCTCACATAGGTAGGAAGGTGAAATGCGTGGGATGTTCCAGAACGTAACGCTCAGCCTGTCCCAATACGTGGGGGACTCTTTAGCAATCAGCACTCCCAATCAGAAAAGTACTGCTGTTGACACTATGATGAATAGTATCTTATTACAGAATTAAAAGAAAGTTAAGTTCAAAATGAGATAACAGGAGAGTGCTGAAACTTTAGAGATTTTAACAAAAATTGATACTTGTATTCCTAAAGATGAAGGAAGTGGAATACGACTAGGAAATGCATTGCAACTGTTTCCAAGTGACTTCAGTATAAACATTAATAATCCTCTCCAGTATTTCCAGTGTGCTGCTCTTGTGACTAGCATGTATCAAAGGATGCTGTGTTCGTTTGCAGGATGCGTATATGTGTGCTGTGCTTTGTTAGAGGAGCCCTAGTATGGATCAGTGCAGGCTGAGGCCGTTTGTGGAAACAGCACAGGGCTTCATCAGCGTTGGTTTTAAATTTCAGATTTTGCTGTAAACAGATTAAAACTGGCAGAGATATTGTACTATAAGATCTTGGAGACTATAATGGTACAAGAAATGCGAAGACTGCATGGGAAGGACATGACTGTAAGTAAAGAACCTGCAAAAGAGAACACTTCATAAATCCTCTGTGGGGGGATATGTTCAGATGGTTCCAGTACAGATCAGTCTGCAGACAGCAACCCATGTGTATCATTAATGTTACACACATCCCATGCATTTCTCTTTTAAGTGTAATCTGACTACTTTTGAAAATTGTAGAGATCTGCCATTATTACATGAATTATATCCTAGCAGTAATTATACTCTTTGTAGTAATTATTTTAAGGGATCATCCCATCTTTTCCCACCCTAACAAGTTGTTGTTTTGGAGGCTCTGTGAGCATGGGGTTTCTTAGATTAATACTGAGGTGCCTGTGATTGTGCCTGGAGGGCTTTTCACATACCTGTGCCTCCATTTCCATAAGCTCAGGTCATTGGCATCTTCTCTCATCCCTTAAGGCTCTCTTGGAACAAGATGTGTTTCACCGCTCCCTCATGGCGTGCTGCTTGGAGGTCGTGCTTTTTGCCTACAGCTCTCCTCGCACCTTTCCCTGGATAATCGAAGTGCTTGACCTAAGGCCATTTTACTTTTATAAGGTAAAGACATACTGTCTGAATCTGCACTGAAAGTGGCACGTTACTGGACTGGCAGTCTGAGGGTGGTGCTCTCCTAGTAGTCATGTAGGAGAGAAACAGATGTTAACGTGTGCCTTGGCTATTCTAAATTCTGCCTGTTCGTAACGTTACCTGGGATGTGTAATGTTTGAGTTGAAGCTGAAACTTAAAGCAAGTAAACCTTTTTGTAAATGGTTCTCCACTGTAACATGCTATTAATAAACTTCTAGTTCTTTTCATGTGCCCAGCTGAATCTGATGCACCTGCTCATGTCTGCCTGGCTGTAACACCGCATGTGCTTTGTGCATCCCTTCTGTATATGCTCAGTGTGAGAAGGGGCCTGAAGGCACCCTGCGAGCAGTTATTCTCTGCTAACAGGATGCTTGCTGTCTATTTCCAGATCCCCTTTGGCAAAGGGAGTAAAAAAAAAAAAGCAATTAATTTGTACTTTTAAAAGGAAATAAAGGAATGTGTTTGGGCTTGATACATCTATTTCATGTATATCTGTGTGCTTGTATGGACACAGGACAGCACAGCTGTACTGAAATGCAGAAGTAGGATGTTGAATAGAGGCACAGAGGCCTTCTGTTGAGGTGTGACATAAGATGAAAAATCAGAAAGCCAAGCCGCCAGAGGAAGGGCGGCATTCAGGGCAGAGTGTTTGGGGAATCTGCTTCTGTGGGTGCCTCGGTGGAAGCTGAGTTGCTCAGGGGAGTCAGAAAGGGCTGGGGAGGGTTCAAGGGTCGGGGGGAAGCTGGAGCATTCCACCTTGAAGGGAAGTTGGGAACACAGTCCTGAAATGAAAAATGGTTTGGTCGCGTTACGCAGGAGTGGTTTGACTTTGCTTTCATGTGAGCGCCTTGTTGCTGTTAGGTAATTGAAGTACTGATTCGGTCTGAAGAAGGACTTTCCAGAGACATGGTGAAGCACCTCAACAGCATCGAGGAGCAAATCCTTGAGAGCCTTGCCTGGACTTGGGACTCAGCACTCTGGACTGCTCTCCAGGCTTCAGGAAACAGGGTTCCCACCTGCGAGGAGGTATGTTATTTGTTTTCCTCTACTGAAAAATTATCTTCTTACTGCTGCTTTGTACAGAACACTGTTCAAATAGAACAGTTTATGCAGAAAAAAATATTAAAGATTTGGGACAAAGGAAAGCTATTTGTTACCTTACACTGGTTTTTCTTGTTTCTCAAGGTAATATTTCCCAATAATTTTGAAGCAAGCAATGGAGGAAGTGGGCTTGGGCATTTGCCTATGATGCCAATATCTCCTATAGTTCATCCTCGAGTAAAAGAGGTTCGGACAGACCTTGGCGGGAGTTTAAGACGGGGTACGTTCAGAGTTCCTCATATATGTTGGATGTGTGATTTTATTTATTCGGTTCTAGTCCCAGTTGATCAAGAAGTCCAGATGCACCCAGTCAAACCCTTGTGTCTTTTACTAGCAGCAGTCATTGGTCATCACGCTTCCTGTGTGAAGCGGAGCAGGACGTGCCTTTGTGTAGGTGCAGGGTTAGCTGACTTGTAGGATGAGTTGTCATCTGGTAGCTTTGCGGTCTTTGTGGAGGTTGTGGGGGTTTTTGTTATTGGGGCTGTTTGTTCTTTGGGGTTTTGTTGTTGTTGCTGTCAGTGAATTGGACTGGATTTTTGGTTCCTTTCCTTCAAGTATAACCTTTTCTTTGCAGTGTCCAGCATTTTTAGTAGCTCTGTTTCATTCTTACCATTCTAATCCTTTAGACCACGGTCTCTCTGCATGTTGTCCTACTGGCACAGTGATGGTTGCCACTGTCACCCCTTGTTATTGCATACTGAGATGACAAAACTGCATTTAGTCCTCTTCATACTGACCTTGCTTTTGCAGGATGGGAGGATGATAATTTATCTGCAGTATTCTTTTCCTCTGAAGAACTGCCTTGCTCTTCCCAGGCATCATGTAAAACATCCTTAAGGGTGAGGATGAAGGGTTAGTGGCAGCACTGCTGTTGCTTTTTCCCACTTCACTGGTTAGGATGAGCTGCTTTCACTCTTTCACTGTATCCCATACAAGAGTCCATGAGTTCTTGCTCGTGGCACTGTGATGCTGTTGTCTTTTGTGTTCATCTGGCAAATCATGGTACAAAACTGTTTTGTTTTTTTTTATTTTTTAACTACTCAAGTTAGGGAAGTGATGTATTAATGGTTACTGCAGGTGTTATGGTGAGTGGTTCAGTAGAAGGGAGATGGTACCAGGTTCTCACACACCTCTGTCCATCTGTACCAAGTGTTCTTCCTAACTTCCCATGGAAGACAGTGGGGATTGGAAATGTTTGTTTGCTCCTGGCACCCAGCAGACCATCCTGGCAGAGGAGAAATGAGGTGTCCATTGGTTTCTCCTTGCTGGTTAGCCAGAAAGCTTCTGCACCATGAGGAGTGTTCTTTCCACAAGCAGCACTGGTAGCTTGGTTGCTCCTGTCTTTCCTGTTGCTATCATATTATGAAACCAAACTGTCTGGGGTAACTACAGAGTAATAAAAATCAGTTGAAGGTCTGTAGGTCTCTGTTCATATTGCCAAGAAACAGTGAGCTGTGAGATCACTTCTTAACCAGAATTGATGCATTTCAATCTGTTGTTATCTTCTGCCTCTTCTTGTGCTGCAGAGAAATATTCCTGTTCAGCTGCTCCACTGAAGAGTGTCTTTTCTCTTTTGCTCACCAGACACTCAGCCATTGTCACCAATCTCTGTGCATGAGCGCTACAGCTCCCCTACGGCAGGAAGTGCCAAGAGGAGACTCTTCGGAGACGACAGCCCCAAAGAGATGCAGATGGAAAAGATTTTAACAGAGGGAACCAAGTTGACAATTGCTCCAGCATCAAGCATTGCTGCTGAAAATGTGTCCATCTCTCCTGGGCAGGCAGTACTGACTGTGACAACAGCAACGGTAGCAGGAAAAGCAGGACAGAAAGTTACTATTCCACTGCATGGTATGAGTTCTTTCTGGTTTTCTTCCATGTGAGATGCTGTGCTTACCCTTAAGATCTGGCTAGATGGACCACACGTCTTGTATCTATTTTTCCTTATTTAAGAGAGCACTAACAAAGCAAACAAGCAAACACAACACCAGAACTTAAGCTTTTGTGCTAACATCTCATTCTGTGCTTTAATGTGATGTCTGACAAGAGTTCCAAGGATTCCACCTGGCAAACAAAGTTGTGGAGTTCTTCCTTCTAGTTAAATCTCATCACAGGTTAAGCACTGGTTTGTTTCTCAACTCTAATAGTGTAATCTAAAAAGATTCTGATATTACTGAATAAGGGCTGTGTATAGACATTGAGCAAAGTAGTGGGGGGTTGCATTTGTTTTTTGTGGGGTTGGCTTTTTTGTTTTACTGGAACTGATGCTTGACTGTTTCTTAGGACGATACATGAGAAATGAGGTTTTGTAGCCTTTCTGAATTGCAAAATCTGTGTCTTCATATAGGAAGACAAAACGAAAACATCACTGCTTTTCATGTTTAAACAGACATTCATTAAGAGAATTTGACAATTACAGAAACTAATGTGGACTGCAGATAGTCAGATTTACAAAATAGTGTCAGAAAATGAACACCAGTGCCCATCACTCCCAGAAGAGTGATAGGCTGACTACAGAGATTGCAATTTCATGTAAACCTCGTACTTTGAAGATAGTTTCAGAAGTGATTATTCGCAACCATACTCTTCATTTAAGCATTACCAGAAATGTACTTTTCTATTATTTGTGAAGACTCGGTCTTCCTAGTGCCCAATACAGAAGGAAGAAATATCTTCTGTGTGAAATATCTGTGAAAGAGTTCAGGATTTACAGTTCTGCAGTGCGTTGTCGTGGCTGCCAGCAGTTCATTTCTTGGGTGCTTGTGTCATCTCCAGGTATCGCAAACGAGCTGGGTGGGATCACACTGATACCCATCTCAATGAATCTAGGTCAGGCACCTAAAATAGAGGCTCAGGATCCCTGCCACCCTCAGGTGAATCAGGATCAAGAAGTGCATCTCTCATCAGGAAACAGACCAAAGAGAACAGGATCCTTGGCGCTGTTCTACAGGAAGGTGAGCTGTGACAGGAAGGTGTGACTTACCTCTGCAGCTGTGCTGAAACTCCATGCAGTACGTTACCTGTCAGTCTTCACGTGCCTTGCCTTTGGCTTGAAGAATTCTCGTATTGCTGGGAGAAGGGAAAAGCTATTGTAGAGAATTCAGTAACCCCGTTCACTTTCTGCCCTGTGCAATCATTACATTGTTTTGTTGGGGGTTTTTTTGTTTTTTTTTTTTTGTTTTTAATTCAGCAGCTTCTGTAAGAGACATTACCAGTTTGTAAGTCTCTTGTTATTGCCTCTCACGTTTGCAGAAGTTAGATGCATCAAAAATGAGATTGCTCTTCTGTGTTTTGGTCATTCAAAACTGCTGTGTTTTGGATCCTGTACCAGGAGATTCTCTTGTTGGCATTTTTGAGATCTCTCCAGTACTGCGGATCTTTCTTGTGCATGGCCTCAGAAATCAGGGATGAAAAGCATGCTATCTCAAAGCTTCTAGAAAGGAGGAATTTCTTGAAAAGAGTAAAGGAGTAAAAGGAGTAAGTTAAGAACCTACTTTTTTTAGGGCAGGGAGATATATTCTTACTGAAGATGTTCTCAGAGATTTTTTTCCTTTATATCCTAAACCGGAGAGGGATGGATTTGAAGGTCGGACTGTTTGGTGGATGAAGAACTGATTGGATCAGCATAGCCAAGGGTTGATTGCATCCCACTGTAGCGAGTGAGTGATGTAATACAGAAGGAATGGAATATTTTCCATCAGGTTTCCTATAAGCACCCAGCATTTACACAGAGTTGACAATTGAGCATTTGAAGAGATTCTTGTGGGCAGAAGGAGAAAACTCTGAGGAAGCAAAATATTGAAAGATCAAACAGCTGCACTTGGCTTTCACTTCTGCAGGATAGGTTAAGCTCAGTTGGCTCCATTCACTGCTGTGTGTCTTTCTCTTGTAGGTTTACCACCTGGCCAGCGTGCGCCTGCGTGACCTGTGTTTGAAGTTAGATGTGTCCAATGACTTGCGCAGGAAGATCTGGACGTGCTTTGAATTCACGTTGGTTCACTGTGCTGATCTAATGAAGGACAGGCATTTGGACCAGCTTCTCCTCTGTGCCTTTTATATCATGGCAAAGGTAACATATGGGCTTAAGGAATTAGAGTTTTATTTCAGATGAAAGTGTAAATTGGATGGCTGGAAGACCGAGTCCTGTGTAGCAGACAAGCAATTCTGACATGTGGAAGAAAACTAAAATAGTATGTGTGTGTATGTACCTGTGTGGTGGTTTGTTGAGTATTTCCTCATTTTCTACTTAGAAAAGTTGAGACATGTAGTTTTCAAATTTACAAATACATCTTCTGATGGAATAATGCTTCATTTTTAATTTTTAGTATTACTGGAAGAAAAGTTGGAGGAGGGATAATGTCTAACAGGCAACAAATAGCTTTACTATCAGAAATAAAAAAAAAAGAATGCTTGAACATGGAAATGTGTGGTTTTGTTCATATTCCCATCAGCATATTAATGCTCATGAAAGATCTGTGTACAAGGAAGCTAATTGAGTACACTGCACCTGAGCAGCCCTGTCTTTCTGTTTGCGCTCTGCCTTCAACAGCCTTTTCTTTTCCAGGTCACCAAAGAGGAAAGAACTTTTCAGGATATAATGAAAAGTTACAGGAATCAGCCACAAGCAAACAGCCACGTGAGTAAATGATGGCTCCTTTCCTTTGTATAAATGTTGGACAGAGGTGGCCTTCAGATGATTCTAGTGATAATGGAAAAGTCAACTTCATTGCCCTCTTCATTCTTACTCAGATGGATTTCACCTCATAGGATCACCAAGGTTGGAAAAAGCTTCCACGACCATCCAGTCCAACCATCACCTCCCACCAGTGCTTCCCACTGACCCACGTCCCTCACCACAACATCTGAACGTTTCTTGAATGCCACCAGGGACAGTGACTCCCCACCTCCCTGGCAGCCCATTCCAGCGCCTCATCTTCTGTCTTTTCTGTTTTCCTTGACAACAATGTTTTTTCCTCTCCTCTGTGTCCTGTAGGTTTATAGGAGCGTTTTGTTAAGGAACACTTCTGCCAGTGTCCCTGTGGAGAGAAATGCGAACCAAGACGTACAGATGGCAGAAGGTAAGTAAGGCCATCTGACATTTTTTTTGAAATGTGTTTGCATGCTTTTATGAAGCTGAGCTGTCAAGTGATAAAGAGAAAGGAAATGAGTTTTAGAGCTTTAAACATAATGAAGAAAAATAAGTATATTGCTGAAAAATAAACTGTTTTATCAACTGCCCTCCTGCATTAGAGAGAGAAAACATTCTTCCCAGTTGGAACAAATGTTCAATTTTGTTTGTTTTTTGGTGGGTTTGTTTGTTTGTTTGTTTTTTAAGGAAAAAGACCAATAGGTTCAGCATCCTGTCCAGCAGCTGCCTGCACGTTGCTGATAGATTCGTGCCTCCTTTATCTTGTATCAACTCCTGTTTTTTAACAACTTTTGACAACTTTGTGTTGTAACACAAGGCAGACGTACTAAAGAATTACAGACACCAACTGAAGGAAGGTTTTTGTTGTTTTTTTTTTTTAATGCTTTCTTTCATACTGCACTGATAACAAGAGGCTTTCTTTTGTGATCTTGTTTTGCTTGGTCAGTAGTATGGAGAGTGAAACAGGATGTAGTGCTCAGTAACGGCCTGACTTCAGCAGGCAAGAGATAACGTCAACTTGCTGTGCAGCTGCAGCTTTTTTCACTGAAGCACCACAGAATTCCTGAGATGGGGTCATGGCATCCATGCAGTAGGTGTGAGTAGAGGAAGAAGCTATTTTTTTTTGCCAGCTGACGACTAGGAAGTTTCACAGAAGCTAAAAGCTGCACGTTGTCAGACTGCTTAAAGCACTGTTGCAAGTTTGAATAGCACATAGCTGAGTGTTGGAAAGGTGAAGGTTCTGAGTACCTTTAGCATTGTTCAGCACCCTGGCTAATTTCATTATTACTGTGCTGGGATTGTATAGCAGTCCATAAAAGATGAACCAAAAAAATAGAAGGCTTTTTACTACTTCTTTTAAAAATAAAGAAAAGGGATCAATACTGCTTTACTTCCTAATCCTAAGCTGGAAATAGCTGTAGCACAGATCTGCATTATCCACTTCAGTCACCATCCACTGGTCTGCTGGCAGCGATTCATAACACCTCCTGATGTTCATAACCACCTACAGTGCATCTTTGAGGCGTGTTTCAGGAGTTCATCTTACTGACTGGTCAGCTCATGAACGAGCTCTTGTCAGTTGGATGTCTCAAATTTAAATCTGAAGAAGTCAATTTAACACCGCATTCTAAAATCTGAAGCTTTCTCTTGTAATCAGACTCATCTGTGAAGAGTGGAAATTCCTTGGGAAGATCGGCAGAGGAGAACTGCACTGAGCTGGGAACAGAGGAGAGAGGAGATCTCATTAAATTTTACAATGCGGTTTATGTAGGAAGAGTAAAATCTTTTGCACTGAAGTACGATGTCACAAACCAGGATCATGTAGTAAGTAAAATATACTGGAGCTTTGCTTTAAAAATCAGACGCTGGTTTATTCTGTGTCAGGTTTTTGTTTTGTATTTACCTGGCATGGTTACAGAAGTCACAAAGTGATGCTTCTTGTAATGTTTGCAGCCCTTCAGGAGCTGTGCAGCTCAGTTACAATGGAGATAACAGCCTTAGAAGGATGCTGAGGGGCACTGCTGTGAGTCAGGCAGAGTGTTTTTGTGGTTTAACACTTGAGGGACAG